TTTCAATCAAACCACAGTAAAAAACTGTAGTTAAAAGTGATGGAATACAAACCTTGAGGTGAACGTTGGAGTTTATACGTGACCGAATGCCGATAACACTGTGTTCGATAATGCAATTAGTTAAGAAACTCCCATGTGATACTATTGAATCAACAATCTGCAAAAAGAACCCAAAATATAAAAAATAAGAACATGAAAAATACGCAATTTTAGTCATGCGAAAAATTGTAGTAACCTTGCTGTTGTCTATCTTTGATGGCGGCAAGTTTCTTCTTGATGTGTAGATTGGCTTTGCTGCATCATAGAAGCTGAATCTTGGTGGCTAATATAACAAAGCAAATCAAGAACAAAGCATGTTTATCAGTATTGGAATGAACTATAAATGGTTCCATAGAGATTGTAGTAAATATTAACCTTATTATCATCATCCTGTTAAATTATAAAGATTAAAAGACAAAATAAATAAATAAAATTAATACATGAATCGATGGACACTACAACTACAATGTAGAATGCTTACATGTTCTGTCAGGGCAAGGTTAGCTTCAAAAAACGACCGAATTGTACCAATGTCTTCCCAGTAATCGTTAAACAGATAGGCCTGCAGAAATTTTCGTGGTTTAACAATGAATTTTCACATTAAAGTTATAAATTAAAAAACACAACCAAAAAAAAAAAAAAAATAGTAAGAGCTCTGTAGGTTGACCTTAATAAAGAATTCTCTAGCCGAAGCAGGTATAATTTCTGATCCAAAATCGTTTGCAGTTGGAAAACGCCATCTAATCAGTACGAATATACAAAAAAATGTACTAAGATTTTCCATTAGGCAACAAAGCTTGGAATAAATTTGCATAAAGGTGATTTTACCTGCACTTATGCAATACTATGCTATTGATTTAGAATTTTACCTTAGAAGGTTGAGAAGTATTTCCTTCTTAAAGACATAAACTCCCATTGAAGCAATATAAGGCTTCTTCTCAGCCTCATCCCTCGACAGTCCCAAAACAGTCGTGTCTACAGCCTGAAATATATATACACACACATTAAATTCAATGGCGTTCGTTCTAAATATTAAAAAAATGTTATATATCCTTCTGAACTTTACCATTGCCTTCAAATCGTTTCCTTTGGGTTTCTCGCTGAATGAAAGTACCCTTCCTTTGTTGTCAATCTTCATCAAACCAAAATCTGATGCGCGACTATCATAAAAAACAGATAAAAAATCACTTGAGAAATATTAAATTTTCACATGGCATCAATTAGATGTTTTGAAACATAAGATGGAACAGAGTACAAGTAGAAGATCAATCGAGAAAAAATCACAACTTTTCAGTTACACTCTTTGTCTTGTCTTAATAATACTAGAAGAAAAACTAA